ATGGCCTCCACCTTAAGAGCGATGGCCTCCACCGTAAGAGCGATGGCTTCCAACCTAAGAGCGATGGCCTCCAGCCCAAGAGCCATGGCCTCCACCCATCGCTCCTCCAACCTAAGAGCGATGGCCTCCAACCTAAGAGCGATGGCCTCCACCTTAAGAGCGATGGCCTTCAACCTACTAGTGATGGCCTGCAACCTAATTATCTACAGTATAAAGAACGCCAATGATCCGAAGAGGTTGATGAGATCCAGTGACTCAAAACGATACAACAACCCAGCAGGAGTTGCGGATCTCGTGGACTGTTTTCAACTGGAAGGTCAGAAACACTTTTGAAGCTTTCCCTGGATGGTCGAAAAAACCATCAGATCAGGCCTACTTGGCAGATGTGGTGCCAGCTGAACGATTGCCGCGCTTCATGGTGTTTCGGGAAGCCTCTGCCACATTTGCCTTCATCATTGGGCCTTTGCTCGGCGGCTATATGATCAAGGCCTGCCGTTGTTTGAAGATCCGAAGCCCTTACACTCTCACCCAAGGTGTCAAGAAACGCCCAATTTGTCTCCAAGGCACCTCAAAGCAAGTCAAACGCAGTGCTCCTCAAGCACACGTTTTTTCAAGTTTGTTTGCGACCCGCCAGGAAATGGGCGTCAAGGGCCCGTTCTTGCTGACATGTCTATGCCACATGGTTGGCTTTGGATTGCTCTTAACACAAGTTGAGGAAGCAGAAAAAACACAGCGTCACGGAGGAAGAGACGGACGCGAACAATAACCAAGTTGAGGAACAGAAGGACTCACTGCTTTGTTTCTTGTCTCCGTCTCCTCTTGAATACAACAGCCGGGATCCCAAAGCATCATTAAGTAGCATTTTGCGTGTCACCTAGTGTAAATTTGAGGTTCTTATTGATCGAGGCAGGTCAATCGGGCGGACACGGCCCCTGAGGACGACTTGTCAGTGGTGACACAGGCGAGGACAAGTTCCAAAATGCACACAGAGCCACTTTTGGGGCCATCATTGAACCCAGGAAGGAAGGACCCAGATCCACCCACACACTGGCATTTGCTTTCTGCCCATGCACATTATATATAGCCATTTTGTGGAATTATGAACTAACTTGGAAATTCTTGATAGTCAGGAGTCAGGAATAGTGAAGAAGATCTTTTTGCAATGACCTGCCAGGTTCTTCTGATGTCATTCTTCTATGTAATCAGCCAGACATGCTTCTCCTTCTTCACGCCCCTCTTGTTGCACGACGCCTCTGGCATTTTCAGATCTGAACCTCAAAGAATTGGGCTGTATCTCACCAGTGCAAGTGTTTCCGTCTTGTTTTTTTCAGGCGTGATTCCGGGGGGAGGCGAGGGAGCGCTAGCAAGGAAAATGCTGTTTCTATTCCATACTACAAGTCAGTAGCTGGTCGAAGATTTGTCATGCAAGGTCTACTCTGCGTTTTGTGCAGAAGTAGTCTTGGCTGCAGTTCCCCTGGAGAGAACTATATAGTTGGAAGATATTGTTGATAAACGGTATGGGTCTCAGACGACAAAGTTTCATGACATTTGGCGATCAACGTCATGTCCGATTCGAATCAGTTGGGAGTCTACAAGCCTCTGCAGCAGAAATATGGCCTGGAGACAGTTGGCTGCATTGGTGCGATATGTATTTGTTTTGGCCTCTTGGATCAATTAAGCGCAGCAGAGTGTGGAGTATATTACAGTACATTAAACATTACATACATCACGTTGGATGGATGGACACAGTTTGCAAAAAAACAGTCCTCAGTCTTCAGCGGCCTTCCTGGTTGGCCGGTTCACTACAACCTGGGACCACACCAAGAGAGTTGTTCTCTCCACTGATGGAATGTGGTCCATCCTTGGAGGTGGCCAGTGGCCAAACCAAGTATCTCGACACCTATGTCACCTATGTTACAGTTGGAAGAATTTGGCAACATAAAAGGGAGGTGTGCAGAGACGAAGAACTTGCTGTGTTTAAGGAATTTGCCACATGGGTTCTGAGGCGACCTTGGGTGTGAAACGGGTACCTTGAAGAGCCAACTTGCCCAGTTAGATACCAGGGGACACGAATTAAAGGGTGTTTTCTGATATTGTCAGGCACGAGCAGTGATCCAAAACAAAAGATGGGTGATGCTAAAAGAACTGAGCTTCCTTTTTCTTTCCTTTCCTTCTTTTTCTTTCTTTCTTTCTTTTTTCTTTTTCCCGAAAGCATTGCGAAGGGTTCTTCCGGAAAATCCCTTGAACACTGACATTTCTACACTTACACTTGAACACTGACGCTTCCACACTGACACTGGAACACATACACGTCTATACGTATCCCAGTGTAAGGGTAAAAAGCATCCAAGGGTAAGTATGCAAGTGTAAGTATCCAAGTGAAAAAGTATGCAAGTATCCCAGTGCAATCCCAGTGCAAGTATGCAAGTATGAGTATGGAAAACTTGCACGGGAGATGTCCTAATGAAAAACATTTACCCACTTTATAAATTCTCTCTTAAAGGCGGAGGGTGGGCGAGAGTGCGATTTGTCCGGTGTGCGCGCAACCCTCTGCGGAGAT